GTCAATTTAGAAGACTTCTCTAAATTTCTTCATCTAAAAATAAATTTAAATAAATCTTTATTTAAATTTAGAATAAGTATTTTATTCTAAAGGTTTTGTTACCGTCCAGCTTCTATGTTATCAAAATGATAGAAAAGCTTGAAAATGTCACTCTTCGAACCACAAGTCAATCCCTTCTTTGAGAATCAGCAAGGCTTATGGATTCTGAAAGAACATGAAATTGCACAGAACTTAAATTTGTGATAGAGCTTGAAGTAGATGAGCTATTTCCCCCAGACTGCACAATTATGTATTCTAGTATATGTGATAAGACAATGTAATTGATATGTGGTAGTACAAGGAAATTTTGTTCTTTATCAAAATGCTGACCACTGTAACTATTCCAGCTTCAGGGAACTGTGTAATCTTGTTTTCAGTCTAATGCAGATGGGGCCAAGGAGTCTTCTGAGAATTAGTTCAAATGAACTGAGCAATAATGTGGCACTTTAAAAATAAAGTGCAGAAGACAAAGTAAGATTTATATTTCAATGAGAAAGCATATGCAATTCTTACACTGCTCCATATTACATTAGGAATCGATCACAGTCCGCTACTTTTATATGGTAATTCTAATTTTTGAAACATTTATTAGTAAAGTGAATTTCATAAGTTGGCAGTTTTCCTCTTCAGTGATGTTTAGATTTTCCATTAAAGGCAATTAGTTCACTGCAAATAGGTAAACAAGTACCCTCCTGTGACTACCTGACAAACTGAAACTAAGATATTGCATTAGAAAAAAAGTTCTTGTATGGAAGGTGCATTTACAGCCAGAATTGAAATGGGGTTGGATTAGAGGTATTAAAACAGAGAGCTTCAAGGATCCCTTGATGAGTACCAATGCTCCTCCCACACTGAGCAATGCATACCTACCTCTTTTAAATAAGCATCTCCTCACACAAAGTGAGCAGCCAGATGACACAACTGGTGGCCTCACCTGCCACAAGAACTAACTGATCTAAACATCATATAAGGATTCAAACAGTCATAACTTTGTGTTCTTTATATATGTGTTGCTTCAGAGAGAAACCATCTGCAAACTTCTTGAATGGTAAGCGTAATACAGTTTTCGCTCAAATTCTGTCACTCAAATTTTTGTTGGGCCTATTTTTCTTTTGCTTTTAGGGAGTTTTTTTTTGTTAAAAACAATATAGATTTTTTTGAATTTGTATTGAAATGTAAATTTGGCATAATTTCAGCTAATTGGAAAAATGTATATACATATTTTAGCTGATTTTTATAAAATCTACATTTTACAAGCAGGAAAATGCAAGCAATATACAAATTGTATTACATCCTTTTATGTTTGGTATGGACTTTATATTTCTTTTTATTTGTAGAAGTTTTTCACAATCTCTTTTTCTTTTTGGCCATGAGACATAGTTTATTGTCCCCAGCATATTCATATGAAAAAATATGTTCTAAGTATGTCACCTACCATAGTGGTAGATATTAACTGTATTTCTAGGAGATGCTTGTAAAAAATGAAATATTTAATTAAATATGATTTAAATAGAATAAAATCAACTATTACTGATGAGAGTCTGCTCATAGTTTCATATCTAATAAATATGAAATATAAAATATATTTCAAGCAAATACCCATATCTACTCCATCTAACAAGTCTACATAACTTAATCTTAGGCAGCAAGACACAATCTCTGACTGATTTTGGCTTAGGTACCATCCTTCAGTTAGGACAGGAATGGCCAGGGTTTGTGGAATTCGAGACAATTCTTTAAGACTTCAACAAGTCTTAAAGAAGAGATAAAATACTCAGTACTGTACTTATAGTAGTTTCATTATTTTTGCCTATTTCTTCTTTCCTGAATTATATTTGTTTGAACTGACTAATTTAAAACAAGACTACATATTTTCAAATTTTTTTTAAGTTCAGGTATGTGAGCATCATTTTAAAATGTAACCATTTTAAAGATAATGTTTTCTTTCATTATAAAATAATAGATATGTATGTATAGCTTATTTGCACTATACAATGTACCTTTTTAATAAAGTTAATTTTTGAGAAGTCTTTTTTTCTAACCTGATAGAAATATAGTTTAATATACCTAAATTTATCCTTCATGATTTCAGCGCAATTGCATGGGCAATTCATTGAGGGGAAATAAAAGTGGTACAGAAAACTTGCAAAATACATTATTAAATTTGAAAGAAGTGAAGACCTGAGGTATAATCTGACAATGGAAATAGAAATTGCATTCTAGTTTGAAGAAAATAAATATATACATATATTTTGTTGCAGTTATAACAGTCTGTGCTGATCCATGGAAAGCATTTACTGAAGAGTTCCAGTGTTGCTGGTTTCTGTAAAATAGATTAAAATCATTTTTCCCAGTTACTTAAACAAGAGGGTCAGGTTAACCACTGGAAAGTTAGGCTCCATATCTCTCTTTAGATACCAGAAACCATGGAAGTGCTTTCAGAAAACGTGTGTCCCTAAGAAAGTCAGAGTTAAGTGAATCCTCTTTGTTTATAAAAGAGAAACTACAGTCAACAGAAGTTAAGAGGAAGACAGAAATTGGATGAAAAATGAGTTTGAAATGCCAACATGAAGATATTGGAGATCATGTGTACTGTTGCTTTAATAATGCTACTTTTCCATGTTTGAGGTTGTCACTCTTCATTTTCCATATTTGCAAACTGGTGGCAGTGGAAATGTCCATTATCCAACACCAGTTCCCAACGACTATAAGCATAAAAAGGTTTGAGTGCACTGGTTTAGCAGCGAAATGTACACCGCACTCTGAGGAAATATATGACAAAATGGGGGAGTTCCAAGCCAGTGAGCTTAAAATGTATGGCATGTTTTCATTAGAAAATTTATGCTTGGAGAAGTTTGACAGAATGATAAATAATGCAGTTTATATAACTGTGATTAGAAGTTATTCCTACTTATCTTGTCCTTCTGCTACTGCATATGGTAAAGACAAGTACATCCCAATGCAGAGCTATGAATTACTAGGACACATTCTGGCAGATTTTTCTTCATACAGTCATTTTTAAGAACTCCCACCTTTAAAGACATTTATCAATAACAGCTCAATATCAGTAACCACCAAAGACTTTATCTTTAGAAGATCAAATGTAATCTAAGGCCCTTTTCAGAGAAAAAGAGAGAGAGTAGAAGTTGTATGATTAAGATGTCTTTGTAGAGGACAGATTTGGCTGGATAGGATGTTTTCAGGAAAAAAGGATTTCCAAAAGGACAAACTAATGAATGAAGACACCATTACAATGAGGATGCTGTCTTCCTTGACAGGCAGGAAATATACTAAGGAGGAAAGTTCTCTGGATGCATATTAGGACAGCAGTGGTGATGTAGATCACACAGCTACCATGTAGCACTAAGAAATGTTTCTGAGTGCATTACTGGTCATCAAGAAAGTGTTTGAATTAGATTGCAGGTGAGATTTGAGCTTCCAAAATGTCGGACTGTCTTGCCCCAAACAAACTCTTGTCTAACTCTTACATGTATAAATATCCTGAGGCACCTGTATCTGATCTAGCTGAAGAGTTCTGCTCATTGCAGAAGGGTTGGACTAGATGTCTTTAAAAGTCTCTTCTAACACGAATAAATATTTAGTTCTAAATATTTTATTTTCAAGATTCCCTTTTTTTTTTTTCCAGATACAGTAGAACTGAAGGTATGTCTTCACAGTCTCCAAAACCAAAATAAGTTCAGTCAAAATAAGCAGTGTAAAACATATATTCCATGCCTCAGTCTCATTGGACTGAGCAATCAGAAAGTTTCTGAAGCCTGATAATTCAGCTTTTCCCAAATTTCATGGTTAGGGTATGCCCAGGATGTAGTTTCCCATTCCACTGGCACTGTTCCAATCATAAGGGGAGAGAGCATCACTACCAGAAAGCAAGCTGCCATTTGGTGACCATGATTGTTTTTATTATGAAGTAGAGAGAATGTTTTAATCTCTATAGTTTGAGGGAGGCATATGATGCCTGCCATGTAAGAGGCCCTTCACTTGTTTAAAAGGTAGTTTGCATCTGGTGAACCATCTCCTGATGGCTCAGCTCCCAGCTTCACAGGGATTACTGTTGGAAATGGGTACCTAAATCACCCCTCAACTATACACACTACACTCTGCCAACCCCCCCAGGGACAAGGGCTTACATACGCTTTTGCTACCGTACCCCTAAACTTCTAGACCCAGCATAATGTTTTTGTCTAGGAGCTAATTTGAAGCCAATAGTTGCTTCAATTAATGGGCTGGGCTGCACTGGATACCTTAGGAAGTATCCTTACAAGAATGTTCTCATGGAGAGACATCTGCCTATTACAATAGATATTAACCATAAAATTGATTTATACTTCCTTTCAGATCATAGATTTACTCTGCAGGCGTCTACCTAAACTTCTTTTAGTCCAAAACAGCAAGAGTAGGACTCAAAATCTGTAAGATAGTATTTCATATCATATTTTATCATTAGAGAAAAAAAGACTGGAGTGTAATAAATTATTGTAAAGAATTATTGTTTTCCATATAGTAGGGTTTTTTTTGTTTTTTTTTTTTACAATTAGGCATATAACAAACCTGTCAATAACTTAAATCGTTCTGCTGAGCATAGCAGCATATTCCTTACTACAGCAAAATCTTAAGAACTAAGAATGCAATGAAAAATCCATTAGACACAAGTGCAAATTATTATCAAATTGACCTTGTTTGTTTGATAATGACTAGCATTTTTTTCTCCATGGTAAGTACGTTTCTGAAAATTAGTAGGAGACTGCATTCTTGCTTGTTTAGGCAGTAACTCAGATTAACTTCTGAATGCCCATAATCAATATCTAAAGATGCATCATGACTTCATTTGGCTTACTGAATTAAGCTGATTTACAAAATCCTAATGATCATTTTACACATCACAATTTATACAATACTGATGCCAAGTAAATAATTCCCAAAGCAAAAAAAAAATACAGTACCTTCTTTTCATCACTGCCACTTGCTTGAAATTATGGTTCCTGAGTCTGAAAAATTAACAAAATTGCAGTACTGTGTTAGTCAGGCTCCAGTATTCTAATGGTACATATTTACTGTATGCACAATTTAATTATTAAACAATCATATTTTTAATGAAATGCTGTGGTATGGTTACCCTTAGTGAATTTTGCTTGTACTAATGGATCCACTTCTTCCATTAGCAAGATCATGTTTGAACTAAAATGGTATAAATGTATTTTAATCCACTCTAGGGAAAAGCTGTACAAAAGGTTACTCTTCAACTACTTCTGTGAATTAGTTCCTTATGTCAAATTATTATGCAGAAATAAAAGCTGTGGTCAGCCCACTTAAAATTCCATTTGAATCCTACTGGGAATGGAAAACCTTTGTACTATTTTTCATACTCTGAACATTCTTCTGAACATTTACTAGAAGACCAAAAATGTGGCAGTAATTTTAAAAGAAGGGATTCAGATTCAAGAAAATCAGTAAAGCTACGGTTGGTTGAGGTTCATGACTTCTACTGCTTCACAGCATTTCTCTGGCTGCAATTTAGGGGATTTTAAGAAAAAATGGTTGATGGTTTGACTAATTCTTACTGATATTTCAGAGACATTTCTATTTCCAGATAAGGACTACGACAGAAAAAGGGTTTTATTTTCTTTATGCAATACCCAGATGTTGAGTTTAATTTCTCAGACAGAGGAATATGAGCAACAGAAAAGTCAAGGCCAGACAGGGAATTCAAAGGGATCTCACCACAGGAAGGTGAACATTCTCACCAACTGGGGCTGCTCCTAATCAAGGCACACTGAAAATGATGGGAAATACAGATATTTCCTCCAGTGTCTTAATCCCAGGTCACGTAATTAGAATCTCTGCAGGCACTAATGGCTAGCTTTATTGAGTATAGCTTTTTTGCAATAGTATAAATACTACTCTTCCTTTTGGTCACAATTAATGATGCTGTAGCAGCAAAAACATACCCTAATGCACTGCTGTTGAACATTTGCAATCCCTGTGGCTACAGCAGTATGTGAGGGGACAAAAGTTTCTGTCTCATTTTTTAATGTTGCCTGATAATTGACAGGAATGAGGGTTTATGCCACAAGCACTTAAACCCACCCATTTAGTCTTAGAACTATTTAGCTTTATGGTCTTAAGACTACTTAGTTAAGGATTTGTAATTTCAGCAATTTACAACAAACAGCCCTGGAGTTACAGGCTCAAAATAACAGGATCAAAATAACAAACATAGCTTTTATGGAGAGAAGTCTGGTGTCATGCATGCCAGTGAAACCCTCTGAAGGAATCAGCAAGCAAAAAAGGTACAAATGATGCCAGAGATAAATGGATTTGGGAAAGTTTTTCAAAAAAGTCCCTCCTTGTAGTCTTAATGAAACTAAGCTGTCATAGCACAGGCAGGAAGGATTTTTCTGAATTTGGTTAAGCATTCAAAAATATGGAGTAGGAATACAACTTTGTAAAGCACAGAGGCTCCTTGGGACCCCTCAAAGTCAGTGATGGTATAAAGGTGCAGAAAACATTCTGGTCCAAACACTTGGAAGGCACTACTGAATTTTCAGAATGACCAAAAATACAGATGAGCATGGCAGATCCCAAAAGATTGGTGATACAGTAATGGAATGTCAGATGAAATTCAATATTGATAAATTCTAGGTAAGTACCCATAAGAAACATAACCCTAACTAGCTTAATATGAGTGTATATCTGAATGCTATTTATAGATACTATCAGCAATTAGAAAAGGGATTGTTGTGGTGGAAATTTCTATTAGCTCAGTGGCTTTCAAAAAAGCCCAAATATATTTGTGAACATTTATGAGAGGAATGAAGAAAAGAAAAATCAAACTAACATTGAATACTATTGCTTGCATATACCTTGACCATATAAGTCTTCCCATTCCACTTCTAAAGGAACATGGAAAAGATTCAGAGTAGCAGGATGTGGCTATTCAGAGCAAAAAGTGGCATCTGGAAGAAGGAAAACCACATGTACAAGGCCCCATCAATGAGCAAAGTGATGAAAGAACTTTTTGAAATAATGAGCACTAACAGGGATAAACAAAATAATTGGGAAGAATACTCCATTTTTCAAAATAAAAACACTAGGGACCACAGAGTGAAGCCAGTGGTAAAAGAAAACATTTTTTTTCACAAATACGTAATGACATTATGGCACTTAGTGCCACAGGATGCTGTGGCACAGACGGTATAAAAATAATTTAAAAAGGAAATGAGCAAAATAATGTAGAATTGCTTGTTGACAGCTATTAACCAGGCTATATGGGGTGTGACACTTGGTTCTGGCAGTCCTTAAGCTGCCGCTTGCCATAAACCATGAAAACACAGGCAAAAAAAAATCACCTCCTGTGGCTCCTACTGCATTTCCTAATGCTCTGCCCCTTCCACCACCCGGCCTTTGGCAGGACCACTCATCTCACGTCAAGTAAAGTGTTAGTTGCCCGAGTTACACATATTTCCGTACAGACCGACTCAGTTACAGGCTCTTTACGATTAACCCTTTGAAACACCTCATGTTACTTCTTTCTGTACTCCTCCTATAGCTTTCCTAACTGTCTGTTCAAACCAATTCTAAAAAAAAAAAAAAAAAAAAAAAAAAAATAAATTTAAAATAAAGAGTAAATATTATGGCTACACAGAGAAGCTAACAGTAGAAAATTCGAGCCGCCTTTTTAGGGTTGTGAGGGCAGTGTAGGGGTCGGTAGCGCCAGTTTAGGCGATGGCTCCCGACGGCCACAGGCGTTCCGCTCCCGCGGGGCCCGCCCGGAGCTGCCCGCCCGCGGTGGGAGCTGACGCCCGCCCCGGCGGGATCGCCCCCGCCTGCTTTCCCTGCTTTCCCTGCCTTCCTCAC